TTCTGTAAAACCTGATTTTTTTTTCAAATAGGAAAACTAAGACTCAGAAAAGTTAAATGACTTGTTGGAGAAAAAAAACAATACTGAGCTTCTTCATGGTAGAGTAAGGGCTGAAGTCTTGCTAATTTTTTTTTCTTTCTAATGTTTTTTGATATTTTAAAAAAAACATACATGGTTTCTTTGATATCTCCCTGTAGAAATATCCGATTTTCTCATTTCAGTGGTCTTTCTATCACAAATAAGCTGATCCATATTCTCCCATCTCCATGGGAACCAATCTTTCTAAACATCTATTTCAATACCCTGATCTCAAAAAGTCACACTCTGCTCCCCCAAGGCCAAAGTGTTTGCTTCTGCAAAGAGGTAGTTAGGGGGTTAGAACAAAATCTTTCATAGGTCTGCCTGTGTCCAAAGAGATTTACTCCCAAGAGTTACCGGAAAGACCTAGTAACAACAGATTTCACCCATAGATGTAGTCCTGCTTTTTACATGGCATGGATCCCAAGGTTACCTGTCCATGAGATGGTCTTGGATCAGATATCTCATATGAAGAACACATCTAGTTATCAATGAGATCTATCTGGTAAATTGTTTATAGAGGTCCAGTTAACACAACACTCAAGAACTGGTCTTCTATGACACAGTGACAACTGCCAAAGCATTGGATTGTGTTTTAGAGGTAACTAGATGGAGCTGTGGATAGAACACTAGGCCGAGAGTCAGGAAGACCTGAGTTCAAGTTCAGCCTCAGACACTGGCTAGCTGTGTGACCCTGGGCAAGTCAATGCATCTTTGCTTCAGTTTGCTCAACTGTAAAATATAAATAATAATAGCATCTACCTCCTGGAGTTGTTACGAGAATCAAATGAGATAGTAAGTGTAAATTGTATTAGCACAGTGCCTGGCATATAGTAGGTGCTCAATAAATGCTTGTTCCCTTCTTAGTATAAGAATTAGATATGGAGTCAGAAGACCTGGGCTCATTTCCTGGTTCTATTTCTTATTCTCTATGAAATCTCAGACAAATCATTTCCCTCACTGGTCTTTGTAATGAAGAATTTGAACTAAATCTCCAAGGCCCCTTTCTAAGTTTAAATCCTAATTATGATCCTGAGGCACTGCAAGATGAGTCAGTAAATGTAAAAAAAAAAAAAATTACACAATGTCCCTGAGCCTCAATTTCCTGATTCAAGAAAATCAATCAATAAATCACTAAGCATATATTAAATGTCTGCTACATGTCAGACTAGATGTTAAGTATACAAAGACATAATGTTGGAGTTGTCCTAGATTATTTCTAAGGTTTCTACCAATCCTACCACCCTATGAGTATGTATTCAGTATCATTTTAGCATGATTTATTTTTATTAGATCTTTACAATTTTCAATTAGTAAGTATTTTTAAAAATTTAATCTGTTCCTCCCACTAGCCCACCATATTGAGTACATTTAAAAAAAAAACAAAAATAAAAACAAAATAAATCTCTCAATACATAGTTGCCTTCTTCTACATCCATAAATTTAATTTTTCTTTTTCTTTTTTTAAAATAATAGTTTATTTTTCCCTCCAATTACATGTAAAAACAATGCTTGACATTTGAGGTTTTTTGTTTTTTTTAAGTTTTGAGTTCCAAATTCTAGCCTTCCCTCTCCCCTCCCTGAGACAGTAAGCAATCTGATATAGGTTATGCATGTGCAATCATGTAAAACATTTCCATATTAATCATTTTGTGAAAAAAAAGTCAACCAAAAAAAACTGAAACAAGGAAAGAAAGTTAAAAAAAAAAATTATGCTTCTGCATTCAGACTGCATTCAGACTCCACCAATTCTTTCTCTGGAGGCAGAAAGCATATTTCATCATGAGTCCTTTGGAATTGTCTTGGATCACTGTACTGCTGAGAAGAGCTAAGTCATCCACAGTCTGTCCACGAATTTATGCTGGCTATTTCTCATACTTCAGGGTATACAGTCTCCATTACCTCCTTAAATCCTTCAACACTTAAATCAAAGCCATCTCTCAAAAACTCCCATATTGCCCATATCTGAAAATGTACGTCTCTTTCTTCATTTTAAGTTCATCACCTCTGTCTGGAGGCAAGTGACATCTTTTACCCTTCTGGACTCCTTGCCTATCAATGCGTTGAGCACTATTTAATCAAATTATACACCCAAATTAACTACAAAGGACATAGGAAGGAAGATGTCACCTACGTCCAGAGAAAGAACTGATAGAGGAAAGTATGAATAGAATGATTTTACATACATACATATATATATATACACATATATATATTTGAGTCTAATGGTAGAGAAGGGAGGGGGAAGGAAAGGAAAAAAAAAGAAATTTACATAATAACTTTATTTTACATTTAAAAGGAAGACCAAGTTGTACATAATAGATTTGCAGTTTCATGTGCAATATTTTTTAAAAATTATACTATGTTATGGAAATGTTTGTTTTATTCCATAAATTAAAAATAAAATAAATTTTTAAATAAAAAATAAAAGAAATGTTAAAAAAAATTAAAATCTTTGAATGTTGGAGCTAGAAGGGCTCCGAGATCCTTATCTCCAAGGTCCTTACTTTACATTAGAGGAAACTGAATATTGGGGTGGTCATATGATTTGCCCAAACTCCTCCAGCTATAATACAGGACTAGAGCCCAGGTGTCCTAAAGCAATGTCCCCTCCTCTACCAGTGATGATGTGGTATCCTATTTATGGTATAGACATTAAGACATTTATTTAGTGCTTAATAAGTATATGGCACTGTACAGCAGAAAGCGCATAAGGATTAAACCTGGCAAGACCTCAGAATTGGTCAAGTGTTCATTTAAAGATGAGGAAATTGGGGACTAAAGCAATGTGCTCAGGGTTAAAAAAATAGCAAGAAAATGGGTGGGGGAGAGAGAGAATTTGAAACTCAAAATTTTAAAAAATAAACATTATATATAATCTAAATAAAATTGCTTCCTGTCTCAGGGAAGGACTAAGTGAGGGAGTGAGAGAGAAAACTTAAAACTCAAAATTTTAAAAAAAATTAATATTAAAAATTACCTTTCCATGTAACTGGGGGAAAAATAAAATATTTTTTAAAATTAAATTAAATTTAAATTATATGTTAAAAACATTCACATGCAATTGGGAAATATTTAATGAAATAAATAAATTTTTTCAAAAAGTAGCAAGACATAGGATACCTATGCACTTAGCATAGTATCTGGTCCCTAGAAGGCAGCAAGGTTGATACAGATGACAAAGTGCTAGGAAGACCAGAGTGCAAATCCAAACTTGGGTACTTACTCGCTGTGTGACTCAGGAAAGTTACTTAGCCTATTTGCCTCAACTGCAAAATGGGGATAATAATATCTGTTTCATAGGGTTGCTGTAAGGTTCAAATTAGATATCTGTAAAGCATTTACACTGTACTAAGTAGGCACTTAATAAATGTTTGTTCCCCTCCCTTCCCTAGGAAGTGCTTAATAAATGCTGGTTGACTTATCAGGAGCTGGAAAGGAACTCTTAAAATACCTAGTACAAAGCCTTCATGACAGATGGGAGTGCTGAGGCCCAGAAAGGTCAAGACTTGTTCAAGGTTAGATTAGTAATAAGTATCAGAGCCAGTATTTAGGTCCCGGTTCTGCCTCTGACTCCAAAATGAATGTTTGTTCCACTAACCATGAAGCCCAGGATGATTCTAAGCCAATCCCCTTTGGGGCACCATATTCCCTAACCATGCCAATCGATTAAGAGTTCACTGGATTGGCTCAGTAGGACTACATACAAAAAAAGCCTATTAGACAACAGAATGAGAATTCTTCTTAGAGTTTAGATCACGTCAGTCACAGACATCAGTCCACAGTTACATTTTGTTACAGTAGTTGGGTATGAGCAATTAGATGCCAAGGGAAATAAGAATGCATCCCCACGTTGGTGGATGGGCACTATAATTAGAATAGCTATGCAAATCATCACTGGCCCAGAGTCTGAAAGAAATCAAGTCAAACAAAAGCTTGTTTTAAAAAAGAAAAGGGAAAAGCCCCAATAAAGATTAAATATGTAGCTCTGAGGCTATACTCTTCCAAGCGCTCATTGCTGTGAGACATAGCCAGAAGTCCAGCAGTACTCCTGACCTTGTCATGCCTTCTTTCACGTCCATGAATTGGTGGAGGGTATGCAGGCCCCATACCTCCTCAAATCCTTCAAGACCTAAATCAAAGCCATCCCTCAATGAAATCTTCCCTGAACTATCTTCCCCTTCCTCCCCACAACACCCAGCTGAAATCCATCCATCTACCTCATCATACTTTATCTAGATCTCTATTTTTCTTATCACATTTTATCTTCTATCCTATCCTCTTTGTTAAATGATAAATTTCTCAAAAAAAAGATAATTTTCACTTCTGTATCTCAAGAGGCTAACACTATACCTTAAACATAATAAATACTTAAATATTCTTTGAAATGAATTTAGTCCTTATGATACAAATAAACATGAATAAAAATGATGACCTTTTTATACATGAATATTTTGAACCCATCTGAAAAAACTAGGATATCAGGTGGTAAAATCAGTTCAGAAAAGAAGTGTCATGTTCCTTGTTCTTGTAAACCATCCAGAAATCCTTCCATGGACCAGGTAAAGTCAGTGAGTCAATAAACCCTTATTAAGTGCTCACTGTGTGCCAGGCACTGTGCTACAGAAAGACAAAAGAGAGTCCCTGCTCTTAAGGAGCTCACCATCTAATAAGGATTCCAAGTAAAAGAACTAAAACCCCTGCCAAAGCAAGGAAAAGATTCATTTGCTCTAGACTGGCCATTCTTTTTGACTGGAGAAGAGAGTTTATAACATTTATAGTGGAGTAACACTTTTTGCCTTTCAGAGTACCCTTACTATTTTGCTGAAAGTACACAGCTAACCCAGGTCTCTACGTGAGTTAATGGGGTTTGAAAAGTATGTTAGTTTTAAAGATGGTAACTGGGCAAGACAGGGTCCTACCTCTTTCGAACTTCAACCGTTGGTAGAGCTGAAATTGATCCACTGATACCAAGCAGGCAATCTGAAACCAAAAACAGAAAGGTGAGATTTCCAGCACTGCATGGAATTGTGTTTGTTACTATGCTCTAAAGTTCTCTCCTTGATGAGTTTTCTGTACCACCTAAACACAAATCTTAATGCCTTTCATTGCTTTTATGTCCTCCTATACAAGTCATTCTTGCAGCTAGGTGGTGTATTGGATAGAGCTCTGGGCCTGGAGTCAGGAAGACTTGAATTCAAATCTGACCTCAGACACTTATTAGTTGTGTGACCATGGGCAACTCCCTTAAACTCTTGGTTGCCTCACTTTCTTTATCTGTAAAATGAGCTAGAGAAGGAAATGGCAAAACACACTAGTATCTTTGCCAAGAAAACCCCAAATGGAGTCATGAAGAATTGGACATAACTGAACAAACAAGTCATCCTCTGATAGAGGGCACTACAGAATCGCCAAGCCAGAAAGGACCAAGAAATCACCTAGTCCAATCTTCTTATTTCCCAAGTACGAAAATCCAGACCCAGAGAGAGGTTGATTACATGTCTAAGTTCACATGGGGAATTAATGACTGAGCCAGTACTTGACCCCAGTTCTCATGAAGTCCTCCATCCCATGTTCTGTTTACCACATTGCTAAGTGTATACTCCTTTGGAGCAAGAAATCTTGTTCTTTCAACATTTTCTAGATACAATGGTTTCCTGGCTTTTTAAAAGATTATGTACCTCACTTTTTAGATTACAAAGCAACTTACATCAATTAGATTAGAGATATTGGAGAAACTCTCCTACTGAAGAATTCTGATCAATTTTATGACCAACCATAGTGTGTGCTACTTTTCTCTTGACAAAGCAGTTATAGACTCCAGGTACAGAATGGGGCATACATTTTTGGACATAATTTGCTTAAATACACTTTTTTGTTAACAAGGAAAGTTTTTTGTTTTTGTTTTTGTTTTTTTATTTTGAATGAGGGGAAGAACAAGTGATGGTCATTCAATTCTTTCAGTCATGTTGAACTCTTTGGGAGCCCATTTAGGGTTTTCTTGGCAAAGACACTGGAGTGGCTTGCCATTTCCTTCTCCAGTTCATTTTGCAGATGAGAAAAATGAGACAAACAGGGTTCAATGACTTGCCCAGGGTCACACAGCTAGTAAGTGTCTGAGCCTGGGTATGATGAACCCAAGTCTTCCTGATTCCAGGCCTGGCTCTCTGTCCACTGCACCACCTAACCAAAGAGATAATAATAGGGATACAATAAAAAAAAAAAGAGGATTGTTGAAGCATTTTTTTTAAATATTCAGAAGAGAACAGGAAAAAGTTCAGAAAGACATAGACAAGCGAGAGAGCTTTGAAACTACAGTGTTGAACTTACATACCTTATTTCTTTTTAAAGGCAAACTTTTGTAATAGAGATGAAGAGTTTCACATACATTCTATTTTGTATATAGAACAAATTTGTATATGGAAATGTTCACATTTGTTTATGTTTATCAAATTCAGAATAACATTATATTTAAAAAATAAGAAAGAAATGTCCTAGTCTGATTAGAAAAAAAAAAAACCCTAGGTCTCCTGACCCCTTTCTTCACACACAGAGTCTGAGGTCTTGGCTATCACATAAAGTCATATGCTATATTAGCAAAAAATGAAATCCCAACTTGCAGCCTTCTTGTGGTAAAGTTGCCTTTTCCCTCTCAGATGAGGATGTGAGTTACAGTCTTTGCTTATAATAATTATTTCTATGTAGCCAAATATCTTTTAAGATTGCTGATGTTAATTGTACAATTGCCTTTCAAAGGTGCTCACTAGAATAGCTTCTTAGTCTTACAGTCTTGAAAAATAAGATTCCTCTGACATCAAGATTTAAATGTATCAGTGCTACTTAAAAGATTTATAATTTGAAAAAGAAGGATTTCATAACCAAACTCCAAAATAAGAGCAAGCCCATACAAGTTACATTCTTAGCTTAGTCAATAGAAATCTTCAAGCTTCCATTTTTTTATTTTATTTTTATATCCATAGATTGCTGCACTTTACTACAACTAATGATGAGACAAAAATGTACAGTAAAGGAGGTGTGGAAGAGGAAAAGAGGCATCTAGGTGTATTCTGAGTCAATGCAATAAAGAGTGACAAATGAAAGAATCTAGTCCTAAAGCAGGACCTAAATCAAATTGGCCATCTGGATAAAAAATTAAACTGTCAACTAGAGTGTATGAAGAACCAAAAAGCCCAAGCAATTCTGGATATCTCCTATTCCCAACAGAAAAAAAATTAAACCAGGAACAGAGTTTGGGAATAAAAGCTTTTACTTCTAAGCAATTTTATTTGGTTGAGAAATGCTCTGTGGGTATATATATGTATATGTGTACATGTATATATGTGTGGTTGTGTTTATGTATATATAGGTATGTTTACATACACACATGCATATGTACACTTGTTGCTATAGTTGTTGAATTCTACAAATAACAAAGAAAGTTTTTCAAAAGACTCATTGTAACAGATATTCCAAAGACTTAGATTGAGGTTTATATTTTTCATATGCTATATCTCCCCAAACTAAAATGTAGTGTTTAATGGTAGAACTTTAAAAAAAAAAAAGAAAACTTTTTAAAATTCCCTATAACTCTTAGTGTAGTGTCCCCACGAGGGTAGGTCCTTCAAATGTTTGATAATCATATAAAAGAGAAAGAAATGATAAAAAGAAGTATGTCTAGAATAATTTTACATACACACACACTTGTGTCTAATGGTAGCCATCTCTAAGGCAGGGGGAAGAAAGGAAAAAAAAATTTACATGACAACTTTATTCTATATTTAAAAATAAGAGCAACTTGTACATAACATTTGTTAAACTGTTGAGGAAATGCTTGTTTTATTCCGTAAATTAAAAATAAAATAGATTTTTTAAAAAGATAATGATATAAAAGAAGAAAGGTGGAGGACAAGAGAATAAGGCAGATTAAGGCAGTATAGGTGGTATAATGCATAGGGCATGGGACTTGGATTCAGAAAGACCTGATTTCAAACACTTACTAGCAATGTGACCCTGTGTAAGTCATTTAATAATCTCTTTGGGCCTCCATATCTTTGTCTATAAAACAATGGCCTCTAAGGTTATGCTCCTCTCTAAGTCTATAATCCCATGAGCCCATGGCCTGGTGACAAATGAAACTCTTGAGGGAGGAGTTGCTCCAAGTGATTATTAGAACTGTGCAGGAGCAGCACCCAGAAACTACACACTGCAGTGGTATCTGTTCGTGACATATAAGAGGTGCGTAATGAATGCTTTATGGGGCAGTTAGGTGGTGCAATGAATACAGTGCTGGGCTTGGAATCAGGAAGACTCATCTTTCTGAGTTCAAATCTGGCCTCACACACTTACTAGCTGTGTCACCTTGGACAAGTCACTTAACCCTGTCTGTCTTAGTTTCCTCATCTATAAAATTAGTGGGAGAAAGAAGTGGCAAACCACTCCAATATCCCTGCCAAGAAAACCCCAAATGAGGTCACAGAGAGTCAGACATAACAGAAAAATGACTGAATGAACAATGCATGCTTGCTGAATTCAAGAGAACATTTCCCAAGGCCCGCTTTCTTTCATTTCCTTTCACTTGCCAGGAAGCCAAGTTGCCTAATGGAAACAATGAGGGCTTGAGGGAAAAAGGAAAAAGGACAGAGAGAAGGTTGAACTTTGATTCACTGTGAAGTCTAAGGCAAAGCCATTTGACACTTGAACCTTCCTACTACATAGAATGGGAATAATATTACCAGGGTTTCACTGACCCCAAGGAATAAATGACCTAAAACCTGAAAAGTATTCTGTTAAATAATATCTGGGGAGCTTTGTCCTAATGATTTTTATACATTTCAAATAATACAAGAAGACTCCTAGCATAATTTCAATGTCACTTACTATTTTTATGTCACAAGAAAGACACATGATATGCATGGATGACAAGGGGAATAAAGTTACCAGGAAGAACAGAAAGAGGGAAATGCTAATGAGAGAATGACACTACCAAACTACAGAGCAATCGATGTGCCCTCAAGTCACAACAGTAGAAACAAATAATTATTACCAGAAATAGAAAGAAAACAGATAAACTCATTATGGAAGCCCATATTACTGGTGACCAAAGGCTGTAATCTCATGTAGCAACTAGCTCTACATTTTGTTTGGGTTCCCTCTTATCATCTTCAAGTTAGGAGGGGTAGATTCGGGAGGGATATTCTTTTATAATGACCTTGGGATAAGGGCCTGAGAGCCAAGATATATAGAGAATTAACATGAAGATGTAAAACCAAGAGTCATTTAAAGGTTGATAAGAATATTACCAAATAGTTCTCAAAGGAATAACTGCAAACTATTAACAACTGTATGAAAAATGTTTTCTCCATTACTAATAATAAAGGAGATGCAAATGAAAATAACTCTATCTCATACCTAAAAAACTGGCAAAGATGACAACAGATGTTTTTAATAATCTATGCTAGAGAGGCAGCAAGAAGACTAGTATTTTGATGAGCTGCAGATATATCAAACCATTCTGTAAAGAAGTCAGGAACTATACTTAACAAACATGATAAACTGACAAATCCTTCAACCTAGCACTGCTACCCACATATCCTAATGAGGCTGAGGGCAGCTAAGTGGGACAGTGCATAGAGTACCAGGCTTGGAGTCAGGGAAACTTATCTTCCTGAGTTCAAATCTGGCCTCAGACACTTACTAGCTGTGTGGCCCTGGGCAAGTCACTTAACCCTGAAGTAAATGGCAAACCACTCCAGTATCCTTGCCAAGAAAACCCCAAATGAGGTCATGAAGAGTCAGACACAACTGAGATGACTAAACCACAACAAGGAAATCAAAGACCAAGACAGAAAGGTCTCATCTATAACATAAGATTTATAGCAACCCTTCTTGCAGCATCAAAGAACTAGAAATAAAATACCATAGGTGCCCATTAACTGGGAAATAGCTAAGCAAATCATAGCACATGAAATATGCAATGGAATATT